GGCGTGTGGCCACCCTCACCGGCCGCGGGAAGACCGGGGCTCGGCCCGGGCTGGGCCAGGCCGGGCGTCACTCCCGCACCACTAGGTCCTCCCAGGCCCAAGATTCGGGCAGAGGGGACGCTCTGCGACAGGCCCAGCAGCCGCAGCCGCAGCCGCCACCTGGGACCCGTCCTTGGGTGGACAGGCTGAAGGGAGAAGGAGGAGGCTGCCCTAAGGCCACTTTCCAAGTCCGAGATGCTAAGGACTCCTGGCGGAAGTAGCTGCTCGCAGCCAGAGCCTGAGCATCTCCGGGCGGAAGCGGCGAGCTCCAAACTCGGAAGACAGGGAAGTCCGACCGGAAGTCAGTCCCCGGTAGGTCCTATGAGAATGCCCCCGGAAACACAGCCGGAACGGCAGATTTGTGTTCCTACCAGGAAAAAAAAAGCTCTTCTTTGCCTGCACGCCCCTGCCTCACCCGCCAACCCTAATACTCCTTATGAGAAAAGGCTGGGGAAGGAGGGACGACGCAAAAAGTCCCTGACCTGCCTCCCTCCGCCTGAACAGTAATCCCTCCAGTAATACCTCTGCAGAGCCTGGGGCTGCCGTAAATTGCAGCGATTTTCACCCGTTCACTGTGAAGAGATGGCAAGTGGGATCGAATCGGTGACAGTGACCCCGGAGAAGCGCCAGGTGTAAGGGAGGGAGGGGCCTGGCCAGACGCCGCAGACTTCCGGAGAGCGCCGCGCCCAGGTGCTGTGACCTTGAGCAAGAGAGGAAAAGCATTACAAACTCCTGTGAGAGGGAGTCGAATAAGTAGAAATACATACATTGCACAGAAGAGGAAGTGATTAATCCTACTATGCAGAAGCTCAAGTGACTTGCTGTAGCAGATAATCTGTAGCGAAACTGACTTCAGTCTAGGTCTATGAAATCCAAGGCACTGAGCACTGGTCACCACCACACAGCCTCCCCATTGAATACAATCCAAGTGAACTACTTCCAGACACCTACATTGTGCCAGAAATTTACTCATAATTTCTCCTTGCTTGGTGCCTCCCTCCTCTTTTAAACTGACATTTTCATACTAAAATAGAAAATTAGAGGCGAAATATGCAAGAGCTTAAGCCCTGATCTACTGTCACTTCATTAACCTTTGAAATCTTCACCATCTGTTACCTAAGAACAGCGAGTTGGCTTAAGTCTCACAGCAAAGACAAAATAAATCGCCTCAGATCTCATCAGACCATCCAACACGTGTCCTGCTTCTGTCCTTGCCCTTCCTAAAATGTTCTCTTCTTAAAACAAAGCCCTTTATGAGATTGTACAGTCTAGAGTCCAGTTTGATGTTGTTTGTCTGCAACAGAAAAACTGGAGCCAACAGAGAAGGGAGAATGAGGGGGGAAATGACTCATAAATCTCTCTCTCTCTTTTTTTTTTAAATTTTGGAATTGTTGGTGTCCTTTCACTCTATGGTTCATTATAACAATTACCAGTTGTAGAAGGGAGAATTTTCTTTCAGAATGAAGAATTAGGGAAAGTTTTATGGAAAAGGTACCATTTGAGAGGAGGACCTTGAAGGATGAGTGAGACTTACACCCTGAATGAAGTGTAACCAAAATAGCTGTTCAGTTTAAGGATGTTTACTAGAGGTAGGGAAAAATTCTTCAGAAATTTCATGACCTTTTCTTTTAGTTTTCCTGAAAAATAGCCTATGAAAAGACCATTGTGTCATTAAATTTTAAAATGTTTAGTATTTCATAAAGGCATAAACTCTTTTTGCCCATGAGAAGAAATTGTCAATATCATATTGGATTGTAATAATGAAATATCAGAAGCTATTAGAAAATTATATCTTCTCTGGGTTGAAACTCCAAGCATAGAAAGAAAGCCCTTGAGATCTGAGGAAAATAAACATTCAATAATAAGTGAAGAACAGAGGCGTTGGGGAACACAACTGGTTAAGCCACTACATGAACAGTAGGTGGCAGTAGAGTTCAACAGTAATGGGACAGGCTTTCATTCTATTAATTACGTGAAGTTGCCGTCAAACAAGTTATTATCCAAACTGCCTGGGTGTAAGGGTCTCAAAGGATTCTGATAAACCCAATAAGGTGATGTCATGTATAATGTATATAAAACAGTCAACACCTTACAGATATTACAGTTGTCATCATTTTATGAGATAATAAATGACACTGATAGGTAAACATCTAGATGTTACTCTATCATTCAGACAATGTATTAAGTGCTGACTTGGTCATCATTGCTGTGGGAAATGGAAATGATAGATCTGACACGGCCCTTCCTCTCAAAGATTAACAGCTAATCTGGGGGAGGCCAACAAACCCCACACCACTAATGAACAAAATAGGAGAGTGAGTGCCAAATTTTAAAGTACAGGTTTACTTTCCTGGTTTTGCATTTCTCTATGAGGCCTTCAGTAGTTGGCAGAAATGAAGGTAGTTTGAAGAAAGCAGGTCAACACTTGCCAAAAAGTAGCAGGAGCGTCTCAGACGGAAAAGACCCTGCCCGCACGGGCCACTGAGGGGCAGCTCTTCTCCACGTGCTTTGTAATTACATGCTGACTGTAGGCAGCTGAAATGAACTGATAACCTTGCTCCATGCCTTTCTTGAGTTTTCCATCCCCTTCATCCTCCAAGCAAATCAATCACTAAATTGTTGATAGTATCTTCTAAGAGCTCTTGAATTCCCGCACTTCTCTCCATCTCCAAGGCCACGGCCATACTTTGTACCATCATTTCTCACCTGCTGTCACTTAACAGGAAAAGCCTCTCAGCTGGTCTCCTTTCTTCTAGTGGGGTTCTCCTGCAACCCATTTTCCACTTGGCAGCTAAAGCCCTCTTTACTGTTTTAAATTTCCTTTTTTCTTTTCATAATGCCTAAGTCCCTTTATGGTTTAGCCCCTTGGGCAGTGATCAGCACCTCAGACCTCATTTCTCCTATTCTCTCTCTACTTAGCACAAGAGAACAGCCCCCCGACCTCTATTCTTTGCAATTTTCACACCAACAATCCTTAAACAGCTCACTGTATCCTCTCGAGATTTTCACCCAGTTAGAACCTTGCTACCAAGTGGAACATCATTAGAAATGTTCCACTCCACAGCTACTGAATCAGAATAAACACTTTAACAAGATTCCTAGATGAATTTTTATGCATGTGAGAGGTTGACAAAGCACTCAAGTCTGCTGTTCTTTCTGCAAGGTATATACTCATCTCATTCCCAATACCTTGTCCCTTGATCTGCTAATGCCTATCAGTCTTCAGATTTCATTTCAGATGTCACTGCCTCTGGGAAGCATTCCTTGATTTCCCCTCTAAAACTATGGGCTCCAAGTTATATAGTTTCCACAGCACATATAAATAATAATAA